TATATGTGTAATGCCGACTCTTTCCGCTCAAACTCCAGGTATAGTTAGATTTTTCATTTCGCTGTGTCACTTTGGGTTGTTTCTGGATCAGGTCCGGGTAATTCGTGGTAGTGTGAGGCTCTCATTAGATCTGGCGTTGGTGATGGCCTTTTTCTCTTCTATTGTATCTCATTCAAAACATCATTTTTCACTAATCACAGACATGGCTACAGCTTTTGACCTGGACCTGGGAATTTCCCAGGATGCCACCTACTCCATCGCCGGGAAGTCCATCAAGTTCGACTCTGTTGAGGACATCGAGCCGTTCCTCAAGCAGATGGACGCCTACGCTACATTGAAGAAGATAGACTTTTCAGGAAACACCATTGGTGTTGAGGCATCCAAGGCGCTAGCTGAATCTATTGAAAAGGCTAAGGACTCCTTGGTGGATGTCAACTTTGCAGATTTCTTCACAGGAAGACTCAAGGATGAAATTCCAAGGTCGTTGGAGTACATTCTGCCTGCTCTATTGAAGTGTCCTTACTTGAGAGTACTCAACCTTTCCGATAACGCATTCGGTCTACAGACTATCGACCCTATAGAATCTTTTCTGGAAAGAGTTGTAGCTCTGGAGCATCTTATCCTGTCCAATAACGGTATGGGACCCTTTGCTGGTGCCAGAATCGGAAAGGCCCTCTACAAGCTTGCGGCCGCTAAAGCGAAAGACTCCAAAGCTCCTCAGTCTCTCAAGACATTCTACTGTGGAAGAAATAGACTGGAAAACGGTTCCGTTAATTATTTGGCCATCGGCTTGAAAGCTCACAAGGGCCTTGAGTCTATCAGGCTCTATCAAAACGGAATCAGACCAGCTGGTATATACAAACTCTTTGATCAGGGATTGAAGTACAACAAGTTCCTCAAGGTGGTGGACTTGCAAGATAATACATTCACCACTCAAGGATCCCTCGCTTTGGCCGCTGCTCTAGAGTCATGGACCGAGCTTGTGGAGTTGAACCTCAACGATTGTTTGTTGAAGCCAAAGGGTTCCTTGGCCGTGGTGAAGGCATTTGCTGAGAGCGGTTCCAAGCCAAATCTCACCACACTTAAACTTCAGTATAATGAGCTGGACGAAGAGTCATTGCCCTTGCTTGTTGAAGTTGTCAAATCCAGGCTTCCAAACTTGAAAATTTTGGAATTGAATGGTAACAAGTTTGCCGAAGACACCGATGAGATTGACAGTATCACCGCCATCTTCGAAGAGAGAGGTTTTGGTGAGTTGGATGAGCTAGACGAACTAGAAGAGCCAGACAGCGACGAAGAAGATGAGGACGAGTCTGAAGAGGAAGACGAGCAAGATGACGGCGTAATTTTGGAAGATTTGGAGAAGGAATTGAAGCAAGACAAAGATGTTGAGAAGCTGGTGCTTGAGCTCGAGGAGACCCATATGTAATAAGCTGACATACCAGATAACAATCATCATATTCTTTTAGAAAATATATTTGACCTTTGAGCCGTTTGAAATCAAATATTCTTTCAACATCTGGTCCAAGGTTGAGACTAGTTCTTTCCACTCATCATAACCTGGCCTATTCTTTTTGTCAAGAATGCAAATCTCCATATGTTCCACTAGACTAATGACACGAGTGATATCATTATGTTCCCACAACAATTCGGAAAGATATGCCGAAACAACCACTGAATCCTCCTGCAAAGGTCCGTAAGAGCCAGATAGTGAAGAATCAAAATCGCCAATTCCTGCCGAAATCCATGCCTGTAACAAACTCTTTACCTTCGAGAACTGCCATTGATTTTGAAGAGATGGGATATTTAAGGCTCTAAAGTAACTCTGCATTTTCTGCCTAGGCAATTCAACCAACTCTTCTTTTAATTGCATAGGCGTCATTTCTGTGGTCTTCATCTCTTTCTCTGCTTCTGCTTGATTCACTATGTCGTTTCGTATTGAAGATGGAAGTTCCTGTAGAATTGCCATATCTATGGTTGTGTCATTTAGCCGAAGTTTCTCTGGGGAAATCGATTTACCCCTATTCGGAGTGCTAGATGCCGCTTTGAATGGAGACTTAGAAGGAGACCCACATTTCTTCAATGGCGATTCCAGTACGGCTTTTCGTGGTGTTCCTCCCAAGGACTCTGGTAATTGCTGCTGGCCTCCATCCTTAGAAGGGGAAGGTGTTTTCCTGGATTGTACTTTTCTCTTTTTGGGAGTTGAAAACGGAGTTGATTTGGCAACCAGACCTCTTCTTTCAAACTCAGTCTGAAGCTCTATCTGTATCTCTTTCGGCAACTCATTGAAAACATCCCAATTGATCTGATCCACATTCAAATCAGGCTCCTCAATAGCTGTAGTACGAGGTCTAGGCTTGCTCATGAAGTCCTTTATTCTTTTCTTAATATCAGCGGGAGTCACTTTTTTCGGTGCGTTTCTAGGTTCAAGCTGACGTTTTGCGGGTATAGGGTTGGGGTTGAGATCAGAACTCAATCCCGGAAATTGTGGCTCTTTCGCTTTCTGAAATGGCAAACGCATTTGATTCTGGTTTTCCCTGTTGTCACCTTCACTTACTAATCGTGTCACCTGAAGTGCTATACCACGAAGCTCAGCTGGTGGCACACCCAGTATTCTGTATAGACTCTTTGCCTCGCTCGAAAGAATCCCTGGTTCTCTGGAGGAAATCCCCAGTCGAGCACTTTTAGAAACAAAATCACACATTCCCATTCCCATATGTTTTGGCGGTGCAATGGGTGCATTTTCAGAGCGCTTTGCTAGCTTCATAGTCAATTGGGACCCAAACATTTTGGCCTTCAGAAGTCTTTCACTGAGCACTTTTGCACATTCGACGAGGAAAGTTTCCACCTCGACAATCGTATCAAAGCGAATTCCCCAATTGACATCAATGGATATGCTTTTCCTTGTAAACTCATCCGGATTTGAAGCAATATCAATGCTGGTGCTGTCTAATCCCCTTGAATACTCTGCGAGTGTGGCGCCTGTCTTTACTCCGAGCATATCGACCAGTTTCTGTCTATCAACATTGCGGAGGTTCGCGAGTGTAAACTTGGATGCGTTGAACTCATCCATTAGCTTCTTCTGAACACTATATCCCACTCCTGGTAAGTCCCTGATATCCACTGGATTTAGAAACTTCAGTATTTCATCTTCACTGTAGTTCAAAATAGACAGTTGACCGTCGGGTTTAGAATTTCGTAGGGCCAGTTTTGCCAATAGTACGTTAGGAGCACATCCAGCACTGACCGTGCAATGTGTAGCGAGCCAAATCTTCTGTCTCAGATCGCTCATGAACTCTTCCAAGTCATGTTCTTCTGCTATGTTTGAGACATCCAAAAGAGCTTCATCAACAGAAACCGGCAATAACGAATGTGGTTTGGTAGCCAGCAAACAATCATAAAACAACTTCGATATTCTTTCATATTCGTCAAAGTCATATTCCAGACAAATAAGCTGGCCACTGCACATCTGCTGAGCCTTTTCAAGCCACATCCCATTCTTGGCTCCCATCTTTCGCGCAACATAGTTGCAACTAGCAACATCGGCATGGGCCCCTCCATGGGTAACGCAAATAGGTTTTGATCTGAAATCTTCTGCGTTTGGAAGTTGCTTCAAAGAAGACGCTGCTGCAAAGAAACAGTCAAAATCAATATGGAGAATCGCACGCTTCGAATACACGCGCTTCGGCCTTGTTTTCGATTCCTCAAGCGCACGTTGAAGATGCTCCGCGCGGAGATCTGCCTTCCAAGTGCTAAGATGATGAAGTCTAGACCTCGAGAAAAACTGCTCTAGGAATCCAGGATGTTTGGCATTCAACGCGACATCAGTCCTTTCGTTTTCCCTCGCGAATCCAATCTTTGCTTGGCCATAATCATTGTCAATCAGCTGATAATCAGACCATGGTAACCTTCTGTTCTCTCTTATACTTTCCACAATCCACTCTGGCTTGACAACTTTGTAGTTGCGAAATTCAATCCGCTTTCGAGGGGTCAGGTTAGAGGCAATTATGTGAGTCGCACTTCCTTTGGATCCCAAAAAGGCGAGAAATGTTCCTCCATGAACAATTATCATCTTGTGAAGTTGTTCAATATCCGGATCCGTCCTTCCATTAACGTATATGATACATCCTTCGAAGATCGCAAGGTTCGGATTCTTGCCTCCGTTTCGCTTTGATAGCCATTCCACATAATCTTCGTCTGCTTTCTGTTGCATAAAACGCTTGTTCTTGAAGTAATGAGACATATCACCAAATTCGGGCTCTTCGTGATTCAAATCTTCAGGATCATCTGGAGCTTGCTGGGAAGCCTCTTGAGAAACCTTTCGAGCGACCTCTTGTGAGACCTCTTCGGGGCTTACATTAGGTTTCTGTGCTAATGTAAGTGACCCAAGAATATCATCGCCTACACCCCCCATATTCTTGTTTTCAGTAAAACTGTTGTTCCACACTTCATCTGGTAATGTTAAATCAATCTCATCCTCGGCATCATTCTTTTCTTCGTCTTTTTCCTGACCCTTTTGCTCTTCATCGTTGTCCTCTCTCTTGCGCTGACTCAGAGCATTCACAAAGTCCACCAGCTCAGAGTCACCAAGTGACGACCAGAACGCATCCGAACTGGACCGTGCCACGATCGGCTTGTCATCCATCACGAGATCAAAGGAGAGGCCATGAAGGAAAGAAGAAGAAAGAAAGCTTTGATAGGACGCGTGAACTTGTGTGGCGCTAAAGTGCGGCATCCATTTGATTTATACACTACCTTTGTATGCATACTGATTAGCCTTTATTGGCACCAATCTGGCTCTTATGCCAAAGGCTGCTGATTATAGCTAGCTATCTTGGTATCTCAGGTCTCTAATACCTGCTGATGCCAACCTTGACCTTTCCCCCGCACTCATTGGAGTACACTACAATCTCTGGGGTTAGGGGTTTTACATGTTCAGATAAGGCTTCTCTCTTAGACAAATATTACGGAGCAAGAATCCAATTCCAGCAAACCACCATTTTCACCTATGTGGGAAGTTTTCGTGCACGACTTGAATCAAATGCTTGACCACTGTTGGGTCTGAAAGCGTGGAGATATCGCCAAGCTGGTCTTCCTCATGTGCGAGAATCTTACGTAGAATACGACGCATGATCTTTCCCGAACGAGTCTTAGGCAAGTCGTTCACCAGCAGAATCAGCTTGGGAGCAGCAAATGGTCCGATCTCCTTACGAACGGTGATCACAAGCTCCTTTTTGGTTTCAGCGACGTCTTCCAGGTTCTTGTGCTTCAAAGACACAAACGCAGCAACAGCACTTCCGGTCAGCTCATCTGGGAAACCAACAACAGCACTTTCAGCAACTAGAGGGTGCTCAATGAGAGCAGACTCGATCTCAGCTGTAGACAACCGGTGGCCCGAAACATTGACCACATCATCGACTCTTCCGAGAATCCAAAAGAAACCGTCTTTGTCACGGGCAGCTCCATCACCAGTGAAGTAGAAACCTGGGTATGGACGAAGATACGTGTCCAAGAACCTGTTGTAGTCACCCCAGACTGATCTTGCCATGGAAGGCCATGGCGATCTCACTGCAAGAACACCTTCAGCCACGGTACTTGTAAGTTCCTCGCCAGTGGTCGGATCCAAGATCACCGGGTCGATTCCAAAAAAGGGGAAAGAAGCACTGCCAGGCTTGGTGCTGGTGACTCCGGCAAGCGGAGTAATGATATGGGAACCGGTTTCAGTTTGCCAGTATGTATCACAGATGTGCGCCTTTCCGCGACCAACATGCTCGTTGTACCATTCCCACACTTCTGGTGCAATTGGTTCGCCAACAGATCCAAGGGCACGCAAAGACGATAAGTCATGTTTCTCCACATGGGAGCTGCCTGCCCGTTTCAAAAGTCTCAAAGCAGTAGGCGCCACATAGAACTGGGTCACTTTGTGTTGATCAACAACGTCCCAGTAACGGGAGTAGTTTGGGTACGCCGGAGTTCCTTCGAAGACCACTGTGGTTGCACCGTTTAGCAAAGGCCCATATACCACATATGAATGACCGGTAATCCAGCCCACATCACCAGCAGTGAACAGAACGTCTTGCGGGTGAACGTCAAACACATATTTCGTGGTGAGAAGAGCTCCAAGAAGGTACCCAGCAGTGGTGTGTTGGATTCCCTTTGGTTTTCCGGTGGACCCAGATGTATACAGCAGGAAGAGGGTGTCTTCGGCCTGAACAGGGGTTGGGGCTACGTAAGGAGGATACCTCTGCTTCTCCTCGTGCCACCAAAGATCACGAGAGTCCGTCCACGGAATGTGTTGGTTCCCGGTACGCTTGAATACAAGAACATTATGAACTTGAGGACACGACTTGAGAGCCTCGTCGACAATCTTCTTGGTCTCAATGGCCTTTCCACCACGTTTGGACTCGTCCGTAGTGATCACCACCTTGGAGTTAGCGTCGTTGATGCGGTCTCTGAGAGATCCGGAACTAAATCCCGCAAAAACCACAGAATGAACTGCTCCAATACGGGCAATTGCGAGTAGCGTGACCAATGCCTCTGGGATCATTGGCAGGTAAACTGCAACTGTGTCACCCTTCTTGACCCCCAAAGCAGTCAACACCTGGGCGATCTGACAGACCTCTTTGAGCAATTCCCCGTAAGAGATAACCCGACCCTCACCGGGCTCATCTGCCTCGTAAACTATGGCAGGCTTGTCTGGATTCGCAATGGCGTGTCTGTCCACACAGTTGTAGGAGGCGTTCAGTTCACCACCTAGAAACCAAGCAGCAGCATCGCCGTTCTGGAAGCCGGTACCGGGGGGATAACGGGCCTGATCGAATGGCTTTGACCATGACAAGTGTTCCCGTGCCATATTTCCGAAAAAGGTCTCCGGATCGTCAATACTTTGGCGATATAGCTTCTTGTACTCCTCGAAATCAGCTAGAAACGGGGTAGAAGGGTGTCTCTCCAGAAAGCCTGCGGGTGGCTTGATGGCCTCAACATGTGTGAGGTGATCGGTGGATTCTGGCATTGCAAGGAATTGGATCTTGAAGTATCTTGAAAAATCCGGAGAACAATAGGAAAAAAGGAAGAGAATGGTTGGTTATGACAGTCATATATACTTTAAAGGGTTCGGTCCAAAGGCGTGCATGACCGAGAGGAGGGGGTTTAAAAACGCGGGGAAGGGGGTTTGTTGGGGGCCGCGGTGGACCCGGCGGAAGACCATTTGGCGTTGTAAGCTTAACGAAAGAATAAAATAAATAAAACAAGGGATGTATCTCCTCTGGACCGGCTGAGCGTCAAGGTCGCATAAATGATGTGGTCAGGGCTATGATAGAGTGTCTGCTGATTGTCTGCTTCATATCAATCGCTGAGGTCGTACTGGAATCAATCCATACGCCGCACATTTTGTTAGCTAAGTAACAAAACTGGGGATTTCGACAGACATCTCTGAACAACACGAGCAATGGCTTGTTTGATTGACGGCCAAAATGCTTTTAAGCACACTGTATCATCATCGCTATCGATCACTTATCTATTCGGTTGTGTTTAGTGTGTTTTGTTGCCGTCTATGGACTTGTGAACTCTGATGAGCTCTTGAAACCAGATCAGAAGCAGGACAACAGACATTCGTCCAAGTACATCCATGAACTCACACATTTTGTATCATGTCTTTCCAGTGCCTTATCAATACCTTCAAAATTTTACCCCCAGCACTGTGTCAAAATAAACAAAAGCGCCTAAACCAGACAATGTCGCTTTCTCTTATGGGAACGACGGTTTGCGTGCATGACGTAATCTCATCTGTTTTCGTGTTTTGCACTAGCTTCGATTCAGCCTTCTTTGGCTAGACTTAGCCTTCAGATCTTCAGAGTAATGTCTAAGATGACCGCACAATCGCTCAACAAAGAATCCAAGATTTGAAGTTCAATAATTTATCCAAGCATGTCATATAATGTGTTCTTGCTACTTAAAGTCTCCCCAAAGTAATATATTATTGCATGTTATCGTTTCTCTTTCCGTATTCGATTCTATATTTGGAACAAGGCTGTGGGTCGTGCTTCCATCCAATTGTGTCCACATCACCACATTCCTTTGTTTCACTCGCTTTTGCTGTCGTCCCTATTTTCTTCTTTTCTTCGACTTTTGATCCTGCGCCCTCCACAAGTCATTTTGTTTTCTTATAAACTCCTGACTGCTTGCCAACAAGTCCTGGATCGGTGCACACATGTTTTCGGGGAATTTGATGAAGTTTTGGCTGGCATTTCTTGCGCTCATATCATGCGCAAGAGCTGAGAAGTACATCAAGGCGTCTTCTCTTTTGACATGCATGGAGAATTCGCAATTCTCAGCATCTCGTTTTGAAGCAAAGTACACACCAGCTAACCACTCGATAACGTTTGATATATCGGGAATCTCCACAATCAGTGACAAAGTCAAGGCTGAAGTCGAGCTGATCGTCTACGGAATTACGATTCTGACCGAGACCATAAACCTATGTTCGCTCAATTATAAGACGATTTGTCCGCTCACGTCTGGCCACATTGATGTTGACTCCTCGTATCAGATCTCAAGCTCCATTGTGGATCAGATCCCAGGAATCGGATTCACGGTGCCAGATCTGGACGCGACCGTCAAGGTTATGGTATATTCGACTACCAACAACTCCCAGCCTCTGGCGTGTATTGAGGCTGTTCTTTCGAACGGAAGATCTGTCCAGACAAAGTACGCTTCATGGCCAATTGCTGCCGTGTCCGGGTTTGGCCTTATCATCTCGAGTTTTGTCTCGATCATGGGCCACTCCTCAACAGCAGCCCATATTGCCTCCAACGCGGTGTCCCTGTTCATCTACTTTCAATCTTTGGCACTGATCTCCATGATGGCTGTGGCCCGTGTGCCTCCGATCGCCATGTCTTGGGCTCAGAATTTCCAGTGGACCATGGGAATCATCGAAACTGGTTTCATGCAAAACATATTCTTTTGGTTCGTCCAGGCCACAGGCGGTACTTCCACCTCGACAATCGCAAACAAGTCTGCCTTGTCAATTTCGGTTCAGAAGTTACTTCGTTTTTCACACCTCTTCAAGCGTGATGAGGATGTTGAGAGTGACACATCTCTTTACACAACTAACGAGTCCGACTCCGATGTGGGGGACAAAATTTTGGTCCTGCGCGGAATCCAGCGTGTTGCATATCTTGCCAACATTGAGATTTCAAACCTGTTCTTGACAGGAATCACGTTCTTCCTTATTATTGCTCTCTTTCTGTTGGTAATTCTTTCCTTCTTTAAGGCATTTGTTGAGCTTCTTATTCGCACAAACGCGATTCCCGCAAACAAGTTTCACGGATACCGCAAGGACTGGACAACTGTTATCAAGGGAACTCTTTACCGTCTCTATTTGATCGCATTCCCCCAACTTGTACTCCTTTGTTTGTGGGAATGTACTCGTCACGACTCTGCTGCGTGTGTGGTTGTGGCCATTGTCATTTTTGTTGTGGCAGTGCTATTATTGTTCCAGGCTGCGATTCGTCTTCTCTTGATTGGCTGGAAGTCCACCAAGTACTACAATAACCCGGCATACCTGCTTTTTGGAGATGCGAAACTGTTGAACCGTTTCGGCTTCTTGTACGTTCAGTATCGTGCTGATAAGTACTGGTGGCTGTCTGTTTCGCTCTGCTATGCCCTCATCAAGTCGCTCATTGTGGCAGTCTTGCAGACTCAGGGTAAGGCCCAGGCGGTGATTATTTTCGTCCTGGAGCTGTTTTACTTCATATCGTTGTGTGTGTTCAGGCCGTTCATGGATAAGCGTACCAACGTTTTCAACATCTTGATCGGACTGATCAACCTCTTGAACTCTGTGTTCTACCTGTTCTACTCCAACATCTTCAAGCAACCATCTGCAGTCTCGTCGATTGCCGCCGTGGTTTACTTTGTGCTCAATGCTGTGTTTGCGCTGGTGCTGTTGATATTTACGATTGTGACGTGTGTACTCGCATTGGTCCGTAAGAACCCAGACACGCGCTACCAGCCAATGCGTGACGACCGTGTGTCCTTCTTGCCACACAATGACTCTGAGAAAAAGGAACCAGACTTTGAGCTTGCTGCTCTCGGTGCAACTGCTATGCGTGGCCACGATCGCGACTCAATGCTCGTGGACCAGGCAGCTCTTGGTTCGTCGGAGGACTCATCTACTCACCAGCTTTTTGCTGAGCGCCAAGTTAGTGATGTTTCCTCTGTGGCTGCTCGTCCCGTCGAGCCATCCAGTGCCGTTTTGGGTGACAGCTACAGTCGCCAGGCCGCTCCCTTTGAGGACTCAACCACATACGACTACAACCGTGGTTATGGAAAGGATGTGCGGTGGATATGATGTAACAATAAAAAGGATTTTGATTAAAGAGGATGGATATTTTGGGCCTGAGAATTGTTGTCCCAGTATTTCAGATAAGAGGGTACTGTGGAATAGATCAAATGTACGGATATTTAAGTCGAATATAGATCAAAAAAAGGCTCCCATAGGGTGATTTAAGTGAAAGACAATGAAAAGTGTAAGTTAAGTATAAGTAGCACTGAATAAATTAACGTCTAAAATAAAGAACTCTAATGTATGAGTGTTCTATCTCAGTTAGTGGGGAAACTCAAGCACAAAAGCTTCAAGATAACAAGTAAAAGCCTAGCAGAACCCAAAATCAAACTTTGCATACAGGGACGGCGATCTAAAAGGCGATCCAGAAGAAGATTAAGATCTCCGAAATGATCATCTTTGCCAATCCACGCATACTCTCTTTCTTTCGCTCTCTCGCTTAATAGTTGTCAAAGAAGTACAACTGATCAAGGATCACCTTCTCGGCAGCCTTGCGGATCTTGGGTACCTCCATGTCGCCCTTGACTGCAAAACCATGCTCGACACCAGCGAACAACGTAATCTGATATTCAGCACCAATCTCGATCAGCTTGGCTTCGGTAAGGTGTCTGAGCTCAACAGTAAAGGCTGGATCCAACTCCGCAGCAGAAATCAAAAGTGGTTTCTTGATCTGGGAAACTTCTTCAATGGTCACCAGCGAAGGGTGAGCCACAGCACCTACATCAACCAATCCGGACTCAGAAAGACCTGGAATCACAACCTTGGCTCCAAAACAATGGCCAATTCCGTGAATTTTGGCCTCAGGAATATCAGCCTTAAGCTTGCTGATGAAATCGGACGCAATAGTGGTTGCATTTGGGGCATGTTTCCCGACAAAGGCATAAAGCTCCTCAATGGGGGAGCCGGCGGTGAAAATCTCCCCCTGAAAGAGATCCGGAATAAGAGCATAGTAACCTTCGGCAGCAAAGCGGTCAGCAATCAATTGGACGTTCTTGAAACGAACTCCGTAAATATCTGTGAAGATAATCACAATCTTGTTGCTGACGTCCCCACTGACATATGTCACTTTGTTACCATAGATCTCTTCAATGGAGCCTTTGGGTTCGCCCGCATGGAACGTAAAGTTCACACAGCACTGGGAAGGAAGGTTAGATGCCATTTCAGAAAAACTGAGGAGTAATGTTTGATGGGACACTGTAGATGCCGAAGCAAAGACAGATCTTTGATGAGGATATGAGGTACGGCTTAAGTACTTTTTCGATTTGGCCTAAAATGGAAACGCCATCGGCCAGGTTCGGCGAGCTCGGTCCTTTCGAGCGTGAGGCTCAGTTATCTCCGACCGTTGCAATCTATAGAGAGGTAGCTCGGATATAAATATTGGCTTTCCATGCAGTTATTAATGCAGTGGTACAGTTTGAAATAATAATTAGATACTTAAAAGTTAATCACTTTGAGATGCACAAAGTTTGGTGCATCAGATGAAGCCGTGATAGAAGATAATGATGGGGAAATTGGCATCAAGTTTACTTCTACAGATTCACTTGTTTTAGTTGTTACTGCGTTATTATAGATGGGCTATAAATGAGTTGTAGAGCAGCTATAGACTTGGCGATGGCTTTGACCATACATGTGACGACTTCTTTGGCTACTCGATATCTCACTGACCAGTGCAGAAATCCTTCGGCTTGCCAAAAATGCTGTGGTGAAATACGTTGTACCAGGTGATCGGAACACATCCTGGCTTCTCCGTCCTGTCTCGCTTGGTCTTGCGTGCTATTGCAATTTGGGAGAACGCCGGATCTCTGGCGGGCTCAGCAGCTGTAGTGGACTTGTCTAGTGCGTTTCTGACGGTTTCCAGTGGAATGTTCTTCCGAGCACCATCAAACTTGAATGGTAAGGGTGGCTTGTACAGCGTCTCTGTGTTGTTGGAGAAATGTCTTTGGTCTTGTGTATGTGTTTTTGCGTTTCCATCAAGTATCCCATGAAGGTCCATAACGTACTCCGAGTTCTCTCTCTTCTGGATGGATTCGGACTCGAAAAAGGCTGGCATAACAGTTACTGATCCCTCCTCGTCTTGGCCCACTTTAACACACGCGCTTTGAGCTGGAAAGCTAACGTTGATTGAGCAAAACGTTGAAGACACCAGAGACCGATATCCTAGAATACTGATCCACTTCTTGGCCAATTGGCGGAACATTTCAGAAATCATTCTGTCACCATCTGCCGCAAATTCCTTAATGGAGACCAAAGGCAGGTTCATGGTGTTTTTGGCAGTATTTTCGTTTCCGCTTTGGAAAATGAGCACTAGTAATGGTGCAGAATTGGAGATATCGTACGAAGCCTCAAGTACATTCTCGTGGCCTTGCAACAAACTAAGCTTGGTTCCAACTCTATGGTACGAATAGGGCATCAGCATATGGTAATCTACCAATCGCGCGTACTTTGGCATTGCAAATGGTACCCACTCATCAACTGAGTCTCCAATGAGTGTGTCCGTAGAATTAAAGAGGAAAAGTCCCGCGGTATCCTGGGGGATCACCACTTCACCGAACGAAAGAGACAACTCCACCAACTCTTTCTTGTGGAATCCCAATTCCTCCATAGTGTCTGCGGTTAGCATCTCACTTGGGAAAACCACAGATTTTCCTTTGTTTCCGCTCCATTTCTCGCAATCAATGTTCATCGAGCGCAATTCTTCCATCAGCGTCTGCGACTCTTGCATTGTCTGCGAGGCTTTGTAAGCGCCGAAACCTCCAGCTGGGATCACACTCGCCATTGTAAGTTTAGTTATGCACACCAGTATATTAAGTGCACTCAGCTTCATTCTGAGTGGCCTTTCTGAGATTTTTAACCGGAAAAGGTGTTCCTAGTCGGATCTAGTGTGGACTTTTTGACGCCCTTCCAAAAACGTGCGGCGGTGTTATTGTTGGTGCACGTGATTGGGTTTTGCACATTCCAGCCATCGAAGGAGTCGGCAAGACTTGAAAGCGTCTCCGGCCTCTTACAGACCTTTTCCTCAATCTTCACTCTCAGCAATCAAAAGATGAGGCCATTCAAAGCAAGCCTGAGCCCTTTCAAGAGACAATTCTCTACCTCTTTGTCGGTTGCAAACATCGACAAGACAACCCATTTTGGGTTCAAAACCGTTCGTGAAGAGGATAAGGAGAGACTCGTCAAGGGAGTGTTCTCGTCGGTCGCTTCCAGTTACGATGTCATGAATGATATTATGTCAGTGGGTGTGCATAGATTATGGAAGGACCATTTGATCAAGAAGCTTGATTGCGGGATGCGCCCTGGATCAGAGAAACCGTTGGAGTTCCTGGATGTGGCTGGAGGTACCGGAGACATTGCATACGGGTTGTTGGACCACGCGCGGGATAAGTTCCACGACACTCAGTCAAAAATTACTATTGCTGATATCAATGCGGATATGCTGCTTGAGGGCCAAAAAAGATTGCTTTCCACGCCGTATGCCCAGTCTGGAAGAGTCTCTTTCCTCGAGCAGAACGGTGAGGTTTTGGACAAAATCGAGGATAACTCGAAAGACGTGTACACAATTGCCTTTGGAATCCGTAACTTCACCAACATCCAAGCCGGTTTGAATGCTGCGTACCGTGTGCTCAAACCAGGTGGAATCTTTGCCTGTCTCGAGTTCTCCCACGTCGATAACCCGGCTTTGGACTACTTATACCAGGCCTACTCCTTCTCTGTATTGCCTCTGATGGGTCAATTGGTTGCAAACGACAGAGAATCCTATCAATATCTCGTTGAGAGTATCCAGAGGTTCCCACCTCAGGAGGACTTCGCTGGAATGATCCGCAAGGCCGGTTTCTATGTACCAGGAAAGGGCTATGAAAACCTCACATTTGGAGTTGCTGCCATCCACTTGGGAGTTAAAATGTAAATAGGCAAGAAATCACACTTTTTGAAGCAATATTTCGGTGCGTAGGCGTTAGAGAATAACACCAGAGAGAGTAACTGAAATTTGTCACGTGACTTCCGATTTACAAGAGCCCATCTCTCTCCACTTCTTGTGGTATTCAGTTGAACACCACTGACAACACCGTTTGCCCATCTTTCAACCCCCAATAAATGTCAGGAATAGATACCGAACTGGTTCTACCCATTTCAGAGATCTCTGAGATTCTCCAAAAACGGCCTGGACTTGTCAGCATTGACGGAATCAAACGGCTCTCCAATCTGTACGGATTCGAGACGTTTGCAGATGCTATCAGCGGCACAGTCCCTCCGGTTGAACGGCTATCGCTCTCTGGCAAGATTGTGCTGATTGATATTGATTTCCAGGCAGGTGTTGTATCGAGTGTTTCGATTTCGAGTGCAGTTGCAATTGCGCCTCTGGGTTCTGCACAACTGGACTTTCTCAACCCTGCTACAAGTCCCAATATCGAACACATTCTTCTGGAAAATCTGCGATGTGAAAGATTGGATTCTTTTAACCGTAATCTTCGCACTTTGGCGCAATTGGACCGATTGTCTGAGCCGAGTCCGCTTGATTTATTCAACTTCCTCCACAAGTTGGCCTATAATCTGGATTGTGTGGCCCAATACCAGTTGAAAGTCGCCTGCGAAGTTTCTGCTGATAAACTTAAGGATCTGAAAGATGGATATGCAGGTATCGGTAAGATTGAGATCAACCGTGACGGAAAAGTGGGAGTATTCTTAAAGTACTGGGAAAACACTAGGAGGATTAGGCGATGGATTGAAGCCCGAGACAGATCTCGCTACAATCCTGGTCAGTTTCATATTCATTTCAAGTTTATGGAAAAAATGGAACTGGAAACGAGGGCGGAACCCAATGCGGAATCGGCTTCAGAAGTCGCTGTCGCATCGGAAGACGCCCCATTGGTCGACGAAAAGTTCCCAGATGTGTGGTTCGAGAATGGCAAGTGGTTGCTGACACCTGGACACGTCTCCCGAATGGCTACACTTGTTCTTGAACTGCTTCCATGTGTATGGGTGCCTGAAGGGCTCGTTGCCAAGTGGGGAACCAGGTGTGAGTTCATAGCCAGCGACAACAGCAACGACTACAACGGCCGGATTCTTGACCCTAGTCCTATTGACAGAATGATAGGTGAGCTTAATTCCGGATTATATACCCAATACTCACTGAATAGCCGAAGGCTCAGGATCTCGGCGATTGTGGGTTCGCGATTCGTCAAGCTCCACAAGGTGATGCTGTCGGATGTGACGCAACTGCAGCAAATAGTTGATGATCTGCGAAGCTACTGTGTCTTGACCAATTTACTCAATCGATTACTCGACGAAGTTACAGAGTACGAAGAGCAAGCTGTGCCTCAAATACGGTTATCTGACCTTGCCGAGGGCAGGGTGAATGGACCCACTGCGGCTGTAGGGTCCTCTCTGGTAATCTCCAATGACAATACCGGTATCAAATTGCTGGCAAACGGGACATCAGTAACGATACGCGCAGGTCGTCTTGAAGGTGACTCCTATCTAGCCGTTTCTGAGGATTTGGTTTTGAGTCGTGTGCTGTGACAAAACATAGATCTTAGCTGTTTGCACTACCTTTCCCCCGGACATTACCTCTCTGAAACAAACTGATACACTTCGTTACAGCAAAACCATATGTTAGACTTAAATAGAATAAGATACTAGCAACCGTCATGCAGGTGTTTACACTATAGGTTACATATTCGTCTCTTACCAGTGGTCCAACTTTGCTATGGGCGCGATACTTGTTGATTGCCTCCCGCTTATGACTTACAACATTCCCATGTTGTGTCCTGTGAATGGTTTCCGTCCTCTTGATCTTCCCTCCTATCCCTTCAGGCCCTCGTTTCCGGATGTTTGGGTTATTTGATCTGATTGTGCCACTTTGCAGGTTCCTTCGACTCCAGTTTGGTGCTTCCAAATCACTTTCATGTCCAATCAGTGCTGATCTTCTTTGCCTCTTTGTGGACCTTGTTCTTTATTTGAACCAGACGCCCCAAAAAACCAGCCTCACTTACTGCGCCGCATGTGGCGCACTAATTCTTCGTTGGGGGTCTTTATGGGTTGTGCACTACAATTACCCCAACGGCGCTCGCCAAGATTGAAGGGAGTGTGTACGGCCGGCTTTACTAAAGCGAGGCCCGGAAAAAACACACCTCCGTCTCTCTCCAGCCCTTTGTTCCTCCCCCTTCTATCCATCAACAAGTGTCTTTAATATCCAGATTCCCACGATCCACCTGGTACTTTCTTTGAACCCCGTGCGACAGGTGTTTTTTTTATTGATTGAACAGCTTTACAAAGATGAACACAACGGCCTCCATGCAGCCCGCCTCGCTGGTGCCTGCGCAGACCAACGGCCATGTTGACCAACGTCCTACTGGGCCTTTTGGCGAGGCCAATGCTGAGACCTGGATTGCTGTCGGGTCGCTTGCTGATGCCATAGGTGATGCTGATAAGGCCGCATCAGCCTATGACAATGCTTTGAGGCACTCTCCTAACAACGCAAAAGCCCTGACCAACCTGGCCAACCTTTACCGCTCGCGCGATGCTTTCGGAAAGGCTGCTGAGCTATACCATCGTGCACTTTCGACTGATACGAATAATGGTGAAACCTGGGGTTTGCTCGGTCACTGCTACCTCATGCTTGATGATCTTCAAAGCGCCTACGCTGCCTACCAGCAGGCCCTGCTCAACCTCCAGAACCTGAATGTTCCAAAGCTGTGGCATGGTATCGGTATATTATATGACCGTTACGGCTCTCTTGAGTATGCTGAGGAAGCCTTTGCGCGTGTTCTTGAGATGGACCCCAATTTTGATAAGGCCAACGAGATCTACTTCCGTCTCGGAATCATCTACAAGCTCCAGGGTAAACTTGCACAGGCACTTGAGTGCTTCAAGTATATCTTGCCAATGCCACCATCTCCTCTCACTCAGACAGATGTCTGGTTCCAGATTGGTGCTGTTCTTGAGCAACAGCATGACTTCAACGGTGCCAAAGACGCCTACGAGAGGGTCCTCCAGGCAAACCCAAGACACTCCAAGGTGTTGCAGCAATTAGGTTGTCTGTATGCCCAGGAAACTACTTCTTTCCACGATCTCGATATGGCACTTGCTCTGTTGAAGAAGAGTGCAGACCTTGACACCACAGATGCTCACACTTGGTACCACCTCGGAAGAGTGCACATGTCCAGGCACGACTATGCCAATGCCTATGAGTCTTTCCAGCAGGCAGTGAACCGCGATTCGAGGAATCCAACCTTCTGGTGCTCTATCGGAGTCTTGTACTACAAGATTACTCAGTACAAGGATGCTCTCGATGCGTACACCCGCGCCATCCGCCTAAACCCGTACATCTCCGAAGTGTGGTACGATCTCGGTACTTTATACGAGACTTGCAATAACCAAGTGGCCGATGCACTTGATGCCTATAGGCACGCTGCCAGGCTTGACCCCAACAATCCACATATTCAAGAGAGGTTGAACCAGTTGACGAAGTACGAGAGCGAGGGAGGAAAGGGTCCTCCACCTCCCCCACCTCAGCAACAGGCTCCAAGATTACCTACAACGATGATGAAAGGGGCTCCCCCTTATGGCGAAGCTCAGGCGGCTCAACCAGCGTTGCAACAACTCCAACACGGTCCACACGCGTTGCCTCCTCCTCCTCCTCCAGCCGAGCTGCCCATTCTGCAGCAACAGCAGGCTGGGTCATTCCCACCTGAGCAAGTGATAGCATCGCTGAATGCACCTATTACTGTTGCTCCGGTTGTGCCTGCTCCGGGTACGGATGGCTACTTTTCTCCTCAGCCGCTTAACGTTCCAAATGAAAAGGAGAATCCAGGTCCTGCGTCAGATGAGCCTGCTTTGAAGAGGCATAAGAAGTCTAACAGTCAGAGTAAGAAGCGCGAAGAGGCTGCTGAGATTACTCCGGTGGCTCCAGCACCAGTGGTTTCTGCACCAGTGGATCAGCTACCACCGGTTGCGGTGCCCGTGGGGGGAGAGTCGGTAAATCCCGCTCCTGAGGCAGTCTCACAACCGGTCGAAGAGCACAAAGAGCCAACGATAGATTTGAAACCACCAGAGGCAGATCCAGAGCCTGTGGAAGAAGCAAAGGAAGAGGTTGCCGCACCTGAGCCAGAGGTTGTCGAGGCGCCATTGCGCAAGATTGAAGAGGATGAAGACTACGACGACGATGACGATGACGAAAATGAGAAGGCTCCAGTCGAAGAACCTGTTCACCCAGAGGAATCTCAGATTAAGCAAGTGGAAACCGCTGAAGTAGCTGTAACCCCAATTGCAGCATCTGAGCCGGCTGCTGATGCCGTTCCAGAACAGGTTGCTGAGCCGGTGTCAGAGTCTGCGCCAGCGGTTGCCGAATCTGCTCAACCTGTTGAGGCCGCTGAGCCTAGTGAGCCAGTGGAGCCTGAGGTGGTCGTAGAACAAGAAGCCTCTGTGGTGGAGCAAGGAAATCCAATCGAGACAGTGGCAGATGAGGAGTCCATAGCTTCTGAAACAGCCGAGCCTGAAGAACCAAACGATTCAACAGAGACTGCGAAGGAGACGGTAAAGGAGCCTGAGTCAGCTGAAGCAAAGGAAACTTCAGAAGAGCCTAAGAAGGCTTCAGAGGATGTCAAAGAGGCCTGAGAGATGTGAGGCTGATGAACTTCAAAAAGAAAAAAGATTTCAATGCCCATGTCTAAGCTTTATTTGCTTTCGAAGTATTCTTATTCGAAGCCTTCTTGGCTATTACCTCTCTCATCTTCTTTTCCCTTCCGCGCCACCTTTACGCTAAAATAAACATTCACCAAGTTTGTAAAATAATTTTGTATGTATTTCTTTATTGTACATCGTAACACTACTCGACCACCGAGTCCAAGAATTGCTTGATCTTGATAAGAGCCTCTCTCTCAACAGCCTCAGGAACCATTTCTGATTGAAAGTTAGCATGAAAAACCAAATTAGACGATTCATAAACTTTTTCCACTTACCCATCGCCTTTGGCTCTAATTTCTTGGAAAGGGTCGCAAAGGTCGGGTTGGCCTCGTTGCTGGCCTGCACCTGTGCCATTGACTTCACCTTGTCGTACCAACCAGAGTCAATAAGCTTCAGCTTCAGGAGGTTCGATATCTCGTCGTACTTCCCGGACGCTACCAGCTCCTCCTGGATTCTCTGGCGAAGCGCCTCCACCGATTCAGTCATGGCTGAAGTTGGTGAAGAGGATTGGATCAGCATGCGAGCCTTGAAAGCTGTACGCCAAATAACAGGGCTCTGGTTGTGAGCCCTTTGTTTGTTTGGGCACGCCTCACTACAATGACTCTACCCCCGGCCCAAGATATCTCTCCAGCTATTCTTCGAATGGATGTCTCTCAAGGTTTTTGCAAGGGCTAAATCCTTGAAGTTTCCTCAGCTAAGGCTAATCAGTATGGTCCACTC